CCCACCGTAAACTTTTCCCCGCCAAATACTTCATTGTCACCGAACTAGTCAACGACTTAGTCAACTTTGGTAGCTAACTCGCAGCCAAACTCTGTTTCCGCTGGTAACCGATTAGATTTACCAAATACTCTGTTTTTCTAGACAAAAAGGTTTCACCTTTTGAAGATTTAGATCCTATCCTCTGTTTTGAGCTGCTTAAATTTGGTTATCTGATCGAATCTGCTTTTCTGATTGTTTTCAGGAAAAAATTCCGATTGAGGAAGTGTTCCAGCAGCTGAAATGTACGAGGGAAGGATTAACAACACAGGAAGGGGAAGACAGGATTCAGATCTTTGGCCCCAACAAGCTCGAAGAGAAAAAGGTTTGATTTTTTTTTTACTATTTTGCATCTCTTGCTTCTTCAGATCAATCAATCTTTTTGCTTGTTACTGAGTGTCTGTTGATTTTGCACAATTTACAGGAAAGCAAGTTTCTGAAGTTTTTGGGGTTCATGTGGAATCCACTCTCATGGGTCATGGAAGCTGCTGCAATCATGGCTATTGCCTTGGCCAACGGTGATGGTAGGCCTCCGGATTGGCAAGATTTCGTCGGTATTATCTGTCTTCTTGTTATCAACTCAACCATCAGTTTCATCGAAGAAAACAATGCCGGTAACGCCGCTGCTGCTCTCATGGCTGGTCTTGCTCCCAAAACCAAGGTAAAGATAATACAAAACGCTATGAAGTTTAGTTGTAACTTGTTGTACACTTCTTCTAGAGAGCTAATGGTTTTTGTTTTCTTTTCAGGTGCTTAGAGATGGGAAATGGAGTGAGCAAGAAGCTGCAATTCTTGTCCCAGGAGATATTGTTAGCATTAAGCTAGGAGACATCATCCCAGCCGATGCTCGTCTTCTTGAAGGTGATCCTTTAAAGGTTGACCAATCTGCTCTTACCGGAGAGTCTCTTCCTGTGACTAAGCATCCTGGTCAAGAAGTCTTCTCTGGCTCAACCTGCAAACAAGGAGAGATCGAGGCGGTGGTTATCGCCACTGGTGTTCACACCTTCTTTGGCAAAGCTGCTCATCTTGTGGACAGCACTAACCAAGTTGGACATTTCCAGAAGGTGCTCACAGCTATTGGAAACTTCTGTATCTGCTCCATTGCCATTGGTATGGTGATTGAGATCATCGTCATGTACCCTATCCAAAGACGAAAGTACAGAGATGGAATTGACAATCTCTTGGTTCTGTTGATCGGTGGTATCCCCATTGCTATGCCTACTGTCTTGTCTGTCACCATGGCTATTGGATCTCACAGGCTGTCTCAGCAAGGTGCCATCACCAAGCGTATGACTGCCATTGAAGAAATGGCGGGGATGGATGTTCTCTGCAGTGACAAAACCGGAACGCTAACGCTTAACAAGCTGAGTGTGGATAAAAACTTGGTTGAGGTTTTCTGCAAAGGTGTTGAGAAAGATCAAGTCCTTTTGTTTGCTGCTATGGCTTCTAGAATTGAGAACCAGGATGCTATTGATGCAGCCATGGTTGGGATGCTTGCTGATCCAAAGGAGGTATAATTCTTTTTTTTTTGCATTTGTGGTTTTGATGAGTGTTCAAGAAACAAGTTCTGATGTTTGATTGGGATTTTTTTCGCAGGCTAGAGCTGGAATCAGGGAGGTTCACTTCCTTCCATTTAACCCTGTGGATAAGAGAACTGCTTTGACTTACATTGACGGAAGTGGTAACTGGCACAGAGTTAGTAAAGGTGCTCCAGAGCAGGTGATGATGATTTTTCAACTTTAACAAGCAAATGTTAGCTTTTTTTGTTCTTTCCTTCTTTGTACTAATTTGTTTGTCTCATACAGATTCTTGAACTTGCCAAAGCCAGCAATGACCTTAGCAAGAAGGTTCTCTCTATTATCGACAAGTATGCCGAGCGTGGTCTTAGGTCGTTGGCTGTTGCTCGCCAGGTACTTGTTTGCCATTGATACTGTCTTCTTTTGTTTTTTCTTCTCTGCATGGAACCAAATGTTCATTTGTTTGTGTTCTTGTTTTCTTAGGTGGTGCCAGAGAAAACTAAGGAAAGCCCGGGAGGACCTTGGGAATTTGTTGGCTTGTTGCCACTTTTTGACCCTCCAAGACATGACAGTGCTGAAACCATTCGTAGAGCTTTGAATCTTGGTGTTAATGTCAAGATGATTACTGGTAATAATGCTTGCACTTCGATCTTGTCGTTGCTAACTATACTACACCTTAACATTTTTCCACCTAACATTCTCTTTGGACAATGTATGTGACCAGGTGACCAACTTGCTATTGGTAAAGAAACTGGTCGTAGACTTGGAATGGGAACAAACATGTATCCATCTTCAGCTCTTCTTGGCACTCACAAAGACGCAAATCTTGCATCCATTCCTGTTGAGGAGCTGATCGAAAAGGCTGATGGTTTTGCCGGAGTCTTCCCAGGTTAGTATTTTAGATCATACACCGCTCTTTATTGTTGTACATTGCCAAAAGATGGTTA